TTGGTTGATTGAGGTTAATTACCACAATACATGATTATGTAGTAATAAGGGTTAATAATAAATTATTACTAACTTATTTGTTATTTGTATCACCAGGTTAGAGATCAACATTAAAAACAGAGAATATGTCATCATCTAGGTCTTGTCTTCAATCTACTTTCATGGATGTTTCACAATCTTTTCGAGGAAGAAATGATATAGCACAGGGACATCTTAATGAGAGTGTAGATGAAAATGGGAAGAAGATATTAACATGTATTTACTGTGGCAAGATAATCAGAGGTGTAGGAATTTATCGAGTGAAACTGCATCTAGCGGGTATAAAGGGAGAAGTTAGAAAGTGCTTTAAAGTTCCTTTTGAGGTTAAATTCAAGATTGAAGAAGCATTAAATGAAATTGGGGCTAAGAATAAACAAAAAGTTGAACTTCGTAAGAATGATTGGCACGAATCAATCTATTTGACACTGGTGGAATCACTGCCAAATCCTGCAGCATTTGGCCGTAGGAGGATGTATCTCAAGTTCATGGTAAATTGATGTGCAAGGTCTACTAGCAGAGTAATTGAATTATGTAACATAGTTAATGTCAAGTAATTTAGTTTATTTGCCGTTTAAGTTTCATGTTAATTTGTTAATAATTCGTATATGCATTGCATTCATGCTTACTATATCTTTGATATGAACACAAGGGTTCAAACAAATTAAACAAGTTCTAATCAATTGGAAAGTTCAAATGTAACATAAATATTAAATCAAGGGTCAATTCGAATTGCTAATTTTAATTTAACAAAAACTAATTGTTTAGTTTTCCTTGATGGAGTTTAAATTAATCTACCCTTTTGAACTCTAAAATAAATCTTTTAGAGATGATTTTTAAGTCATTTTGATGAGACAATCATCACCCAAATGTGATCTATTTAAAATTTTAGAAATTATATTTTTATTATAATTCATTTTCAATTAAAAAAAAAAATTAGAAGTTTGGTAATTCCTAAAAGTACCACAAAAAGTGGATTAAAAAAGTAATTTTTTTCAAAGGATTTTAATATGTAATTGTTTATGATAATTTTATCGCATCTTTATAATTTTTTTTTTAATGAAATCAAGTATTAATATATACAGTTTTTTGTTGGATATAAATTATTATTTTAGAATCATGAAAATATATTATGTACAATTTTTTCTTTAAGGTTCTAGTAATGGAGTTTTAATTTGTTAGTGGGTCAATATAATCCATCCAAAATTTGATAGGCTAAAAATTTCAATTCAAAATAATGCTTATTAATTAATGTAGTTTACATTGTGTGCTAAGATAATAATAAAGTATTTGACAAGTATAAATTAAAAAAAAAAAAATTTAGTTATAATTCATTTTAATTTATTTTTTTATATATAAAAGAAAAAAGAAAATACAATGGATATTTAGTAATATATATATTACATAATCAAGTATTACCGTCCATTTATAAACATCAAATCAAAAGAGAAATGTGAGTGTGCCAAAAGATAAAACTTCTTTCTTTAATTTCCTCCCATTTCTTTATAGTTATAGTGTTTGATACTGAAATTAAATATTATAATATAATTAATTATATATATTTTTTTTAGCTTAACTGACTGCAACTATAAATTAAGATAGCTCCTCCAAATTTTGATATACAAAGTAATTCAAACCTCTTAATAAATTGATAGTGTTCATAAAATGATTTCGTCTTTGAATCTTCCTAAAAAGTATGATTCGAAAGTCATCATGTAAAGCATGATTTGATAAGGAGTTAAAAGATATACATCTACGTTTGGATCATGTAATATTTTATTATAGGGGTATATTATATTAACGAAAAGAAAGATCACCTTGAAGATTACTAAGAATGTTTAGAAAATATGTCTGGTTGGTTTTGAATAAATTAGGGAATTATATGTTTGGTTGGAATGATAAATGGGTGAATATGTTATATAGATTATTAAATTGCCCTCTTTTTTAAATATTAATATAATATTATTTTTTGAATCATTTTTTATCTCCCTATATTTGAAATTTTGCTAAAACACCACAGCCATATAAAACTTTAATTTGTAGTAAAATCACCCCCACCCACCCCAAGTCACTGTCAGCAGCCAGCCACCACTGCCGACCGCCGTCAACAATTGACGGAATGGCGCACGACTACTTGTATATGGCTGACCGTGAGTCGGCAAAGCCGGAAATGGCCATGGATTTATAATCCATGGCCAAAAAATAGCCAGATTTATGGCCATTTCACGGCCAAAGATATGGCCATTTCACGGTAAGATCTATGGCCATTTTTACAGCCACATCTTTGGTCGTGAAATGGCCATAGAAATGCTAGATTTGGCTGTTTCTGGAAAAGGCTTATCGGTGCACGACCAGCCAGATCCTGCCAGTTGTGCACCATTACGACAATTGGTGAGTCACAGTTGGCGGTGGTCTTGGGTGGCTAGGGGTATTTTGTTAACTTTTAAATTTTTTTGTAGCTGAGGTGTTTTAGCTAATTTCTCAAAGGTAGGGGGGCTAGGTAATTTTTATTTGGTAGACATTTGAAAGCAATTGTATCCGAAATGATTTTTAATTAAGGGCAAAATGGGTAGAAAAATCAGATTACCCCAGTAATGTTTTAATAACACCTGCTAACAAGGTAATAAGATTATCCCCCACATTATTAAGAGTAAACACCATTTACAATAAAAAATTATCGTAATATTTTATTACTTGCAAACCAAACACAAGAATCTTACAAAATAAACAAAGATTACCCCGTTATCTTATATAATCCCCGATCCAAACGGAACCTCTAAAGTATGATATATTAACAAAACTCCTTAAGAGGTTTTGGAAATAACAAAAAATCTCTCAACCGTTAATGAATTGTTAAAATTTATACTGTTATAAATTAATAAATATACCGAATTGTCCTCTTGCCGTTTATTTTAATACCTAAAATCTGATGAAGGGTTTATGTTATTTAGGAAGCTTTAGGAGAATTTTGGTTATATTGTCATATTTGAGGGGGATTAATGTCATTAACTCTTATATAAGTTTTTATCCATAAATGAATTATTAACCTATTTACGGGTGGGAAAAATATTGGGCGCCGGTGGGCTGAGGCACAAACAGATGAAATCCCAAACATCTCAGCCCATTTATTTAAAGAGAAAGCAGTCCAATTTCTGCATTTTTTGAATTACAAATACTTTTAAAACTATAAATAATTTTCAAACAAAAAAAATGCTAAATTGCATTTTTACCTTAACAATTATTATATTCCAATAGAAACTTATTACATTTTGAGTTTTTCATTATAATTTGAAATTTATATACTTTTTCAGTAAATCCATTGTTCAACAAAAATGTTAGATTTTATTTTAAGCATTATTTTTTTTTTTTATAATTATGACGTGAATTAATTAAAATATTATTTTCGCAAGTAAAAATGCTTGAAATAAGCATATTTGCATGAGGATTTACTTTAAATACTTTAGGTTTTGTTTGGTTCAGGGAATGTTATATTGATGGAAAGATAGATTACCTTTAAGATTATTGTGAATGTTTAGAGAAATATATTTGGTTGCTTGGAATAAATTGGTGAGTATGTTATATTAATATATTTGATTGAGAGAAATAAATTAGTGGGTATGTTATATAAATTACTAAATTGCCCTCTTTTAAAATATTAATATAAATTATTTTTATTGTTATTTTTTTAATAATTTCTTTTAACCCCATACATTTTAGATTTAACTAAAACACCCTAATAACAAAAAAAGTTAAAACTTAACAAAAGCACCCCAACCTACCCCAGCCACTGTCGGCAGCGACAGTGGAGATCTGGGCGTGAAAAGGTCAAACATTTGGCTGTTTCACGGCCACATCTTTTCCTAACATGATATAATTATAGGGGATTAATTAATATATTTTCCCACAAGACAATATTTGTTTGTAATTTTTTTTTAAAGAGATTACGAGATCATCAAACTAATTACTATTAAGTTTATAGTATATAAAATAAGGAGACAATATATAAGAGAGTATTTTTAGTCTTTGTTTATGTTATTAGTTTAAAATAGAATAGATTTAAATTTAGAGTAATGCTATTGCCCCTTATTTTATCTCTTTACACCCCAATTATTATTAAGTTTATAGTTACAATTTTGTTCCTCATTAAAAGAGTTATATGTATTTATAGGTTTTATTTCCTCTTTCAATCATAAAACGTAATTCCCTTTTCAAATAATTAAGACAGAATTTATCTATGTAATTGAAAGAGTTTGATCGAAAGATCATATAAGTACAATACAGATAGAGTTTATGCTTTACAATTGTAAGTTGTTTCGTTAATTTTTCACCTATACTAATATCAATTAAATAATAGGAACTTAAAATGCTGTTTGAATAGTAATATTCATATTTGCTTTCAATTTAAAATGAACCATAAATTAAATTATTTTATGCCGACACAAAGATTTCCGGTGCTCATCATATGGTTACATGTCTATGCATCTTCCTAAAAGTATGATTCAACAATCATCATGAACTGCATAAATATTTGTCATGTTTTTACTATGAATTAATTATAAAAAATGAATATTTAACGCTATTTTTTTTTTCAAGCAGACCAACCTTGTTCCTTACAAGAAATCTTATCAATTAATTGAATGCATTAAATATATTACAAAAATAAATTCCCTGAAAGTGAACAATTTAATTACAGAGATGAAATTAATAAATTTAATTTAAAAAAAAATAAGGCCCTTTAAACTAATAAGGGCTGATACATTAGGTCCATAGTATAGCATTGTGGGGCTCTCGCCCAACACTAACAACCAGGTTACCAATCATATCAAAATTACCTATTCCTTTAAAAAGGCAATACGTCATATGACGTGTAAAATCAGTCATCAAGTTGGAGCCGAACTATCCCACATCGTCTAGTTCAGAGAACAATTGCATAGTTATAAGAAAAGAGAAGGGAGCAAAAGGTTGTCTCTTCGGAGACATCCGATAAAATTGAAACGAGATAGAGAAGATTACTATGGCCCCTGTGCAAGGATGACACTCACAAATCAAGAAATGATCCAATATTTTTTCATCTTTCTCTTTTGAATTCGGTTTCTGTTTCTCAAGGTCTATTTTTTTTGTTTTTAATTTTTCTCTTTTTGGGTTTGAATTTTTGAACGTGTTTCTTGTTTTCGATGTTTTATATATATATACACACACCAAAATATTGGCTTTTTGTTTCTTGAGGTCTAATTTTTTTTTTCTCTTTATGGGTTTGAATTTTTGAACCGTATTTCTTGTTTCCGGATGTTTATATATATACTTACCAAAATAATTAAAAAAAAAAATAGCAAAAAAATTACAAGTTTAAGTATGAAATACCACTTAAAGGTCAATTTATAGTTGTGATTTGCATTATATATATATAAAAACTAATTTAATTGATTGTTGGGATTATATGTGTAAAAGTAATGTATTTTATATCGAAATGAAAATAAAATATATTTAAAAGATCAATATTCATTTAACCAAAAAATTGTTTACTGTTTAGTAATATAATTTGTTTTATAGCAATTCATAAAATTATAATTTATTAATTTTGATAGTATTTTTCATTTCTTATCTAATCTTGGTGTTAAATGACAATTTAATTTAGGAGAGGAGAGAGAAGTGCGATGGGAAGATAGAAAAAATTGCTAACATAATAAAAGTTTTAAGATGACTATAATGAAATGAAACTACAAATTTAATACAATCTTGACCATTGATTAACCTTAATCTAGAGGTTGATTATAAATGTAAAATAAAAAGATTGTGCTGTCGATCTTATTTTATGTTATATTAACTAAAAAAGTTTTTGAGTGAAACGAAGAGCTTCTTTACACTTATGATCGTTTATAATATATTTACATTTTTTTTAATCCAAGAGTTTATCTCCACACAATTCAATCTTCAAAGTTCGAACCAACAATTAAACAAAGTCGAGTATCCCATCTCGTCGGGAAAGCTAGTGATGATAATTTAATTTTTTATTTTATTTTATACTAATATATCAAAATTAAACTTCATAATTTAGTATCTTAGATTTGCACCAAATATTTTAGATTATGTTATATGCATTAATATATTTAATCATAATAATTGGTAGTGGTTGAAATATTTTTTGGGTTTGAAAATAAGCAAATTTGGATGTGAATTTAGTTTAGATACCTCACAGATATCTTTATTTCGGGTATTATATATTAAGTCTTTTATCATAATATCATATAATTATAGTGGATTAATATATTTTCCCACAAGACGAGATACTTTTTGTTATGCCGGAAAAAGTAGGGTTGACGTCCCATTAATATATTTTTTGAGACGCAAAGAAAGGATTTGCACGGCACCTACCCACTTGCAGCTTTCATAATCATTACCTTGAACTTTTCCACTACAAATAGAGGATGTCCCTCTCATTTAAAGGGATTAACTGATTTTACGCTAAAATAGCTCTCTTTCTCTCCCTCTTTCTCTAAACTGTAATTCAGCTCGCTGAACGCGATTTGATCACTTTCTCTTATTAATACAATAGCAGTGAACGTAGGATTCGCTTTAGAGCATCCAAACCACTTTAAATATTGCTCTTCACCTTTTATTTGATTCAATCTCCTCATATCACGTGTGACTTCTAAGTCATTTTAGCATTTTATACGTGCGAGTAGTTGGTATCAAAATCAAGCATCAACAGTTTGGCGTTAGAAGGAGAGCCTGATTTAGTACCTACTTTTCATCAGAAAAATCTCTTACTAATTAGTCCCACAACAGCAAATGGCTCGCGGTTTCGAACCTGAGCGAACCAATCATCCCTAGATCCAGGAGGACACTTCTCCCGAAATGATGCCAGTCCAGCAGAATATCACGGGGGATATTCCTTCAAGCTCGCGGCTCAACCCAGCTGTCATGAGTTACCTAGAGAGGTTCAATAATACTCTTCAAACGGTCCGCCAAATGCTAGACCAATTGGATCGGGTCATGCCACCTGAATCCAATAAAGTAGTGCCACCGCCAAAAACGCCTGTAGGTCGCGTGAAAGCGTAGAAAAGGGTGAAAACCCATATCGCGTGCACTGCAGCGCATCAGAGAAAGGGAAAGCAAGTGGCACACAGTGGACCCAAGGGCTCTGAGGGACTAGTGAACACCGATCGCACCCCGGGTAGATTACCAGTGGCATTGCGACTCGGCGATATGTCGCAATATTGGCTGTCCCGCGCCACGACGCGTGGGCACTCCCATAAAGGTGCAAGACGGGGAGATTCACAATATCGCCAGAATGACGACTTTGGTCGTCGTCGTGCAGGGGATTACCATCCTCCGCAGGTCGGTTAGTACCACCGCGGAGGTTGAGAAGATTGCCCGAATCACACGATGCAATCACACGACTCTAGCCAGCGTGTGCCGAGATTGGCTGGAGCTCTCGGTCGAGGTGAGGAAGAGCCCGATTTGCGCTCTTTCCTTAACTGTAACTGTGAGGGTCGAACCCACGTTGCGGAAAGTGATCCCCAGATAGCTTGGCTGCCTCAGATTGAGGAACTACAGTGAGCTCTAGATCAGCTTAAGGCTCAACAGCATGAGCAAGGGCAGGTCACAAAGGCGTCTCCCTTTTCTCCGGCAGTGTTAGCTGCCCCTCTCCCATCGAGATTCAGAATGCCAGACATGCAAGCATTCGATGGGAATTCCGATCCGCAAGATCATTTATACGAGTTCAACGACCTCATGGAACTCCACCAAGTCTTTGACTTGGCAAAATGTTGTTGCTTGGCAGTAACCCTTACCGCCCATGCCAAGCGCTGGTTCAGGTCGCTTCCAACAGGATTGGTCGGCTCATGGCCTCAAATGAGCTCGACATTTCTAAGGCACTTCTAGGCGAATAAGATGTTCCCAATGCCGCTAAGCTACTTGAGCAATATACGACAGGAGAGGGATGAACCCTTTTAATCTTATATAGATAGGTTCTACAAGGAGCTCCACAAAGTGGCTCATACTCCCAAAAAGTCTGTTCGAACTCTCATCGTTGTGGGAGTTCGCCCACAGACAGACTTATGGAAAGAACTACAATCTGAGGATGATGTTTCCCTCACTTGCTTCTACAATCTTACTGAAAACTACCTCCGGATCAAAAGTTTCGTGGCAGCTTTTAGTCGCCATGACCTCGGTCTGTCGGGCAATGCTCCCAACCGGGGGGAGAATAGGAGGGCTGATCGCAGATGGGCTAATGATGATCAGCGAAAAGAAAAGAAGCAGTGGTACGAGCCCAAGAAATCTTATGCCCCAATTCCTCGTTGCGATCGCGACAAGAGTCAATACACTCCTCTGAATGCCTCAGTATCGGCTATTCTGGATAAATCAGAGGAGACCGGTTTGCTCGGAGAGCCTGAGCCCATGAAGAATCCCCTCTCAGCCAGAAACAATAAAAAGTACTATCCTTATCATCGGGATAATGGGTACCACACCGATGAGTGTTGGTCCCTTAAGCAAACAATTGAGGACCTTATTAAACAAGGACACTTCAAAGAGTATATTGATGACTCAACTCCCGTTCGGGAGAAAAATCATGAGGAACCAGGGAAGAGACATCATGGTCGCAAAGGTCTATACAGTGTGGGGATCATCTTTGGAGGACCACACCCCGCGGGGAACTCTTGAGGTGCCCAGGAAAGGTATACTTGGGAAGCCCGTCGTGACCCCTAAGTGTCATGAGCATGACGCCGCGACCCGCCAAGGTTTGTAGAGAGGAGGAAATCACCTTATTCGAGAAAGATGCGATGCGATTGCATCATTCCCATGAGGATGCTCTCGTCATCACGCCTGAAATAGGTCGATTGAAGTCCATAGGATACTGGTGGACAATGGAAGCGTCGTAAATATCTTATTTCAGCGAGCCTTCGAAAAGATGAAACTAGATGAGACAAATCTAAAGCCTACCTCTATCCCTTTGTACGGTTTCACTGGTGATCATCTGATTCCCAAGGGGATGATCTTGCTCCAGGTCACGTTGGGAGAAACCAACTAGCTGACCAAAATGACTGAGTTTTTAGTAGTAGACTGTCCTTCCGCTTTCAATGGCATCTTGGGACGACCTCTACTATGAAACTTCAAGGCAGTCACCTCAATATACCATATGAAGATGAAGTTCCCCACCTCGACAAGGATAGGGAAAGTAAGTGGATCTCAACGCGCATTTCGCAACTGCTATGTAAGGGTAGTGTAGATGGCGTGCAAGGGAAAAGGAGCACCAGTTTGCATCCTTGAGCAGGCAATGGCGATCAGCAGGATCGAGCCACAACCTAGCCCAATTGAGGATGACATGGATCCTCGCATCTAGGAATGCCTTTACAGTGGGTCGGTCGAGGACTTATCTGAGGTATTGGTCGATCAAAGCGAGTTGACTCGAATATTGAGGATCGAGCGTAATCTCAGCCCTCAACTCGCTAACAACCTAATAAGCTTCCTTAGGGAAAATGTCGACATATTCGCATGGACTCATGCCGACATGGTCGGGATCAGCCCAAATGTTATATGCCATGCCTTGAATATTGATAATGCAATCAGGCCGGTTCGCCAAAAGAGGAGAGCAATGGACCCTGAGTGGCATGCTACCTTAAAAGTCGAGATAGATAACCTCTTCTTGAATGGGTCCATCCGAAAGGCACTTTACCCGAGCTGGGTTGCCAACCCGATCTTAGTAAGGAAGCTTACCGACAAATGGCAGACCTGTGTTGACTTCACCTACCTCACAATGCCTGTTCGAAGGACAACTTTCCCTTGCCAAGAATCGACCTGCTTGTCGATACCACCTTCGAACATGAGTTGTTGAGTTTTATAGACGCCTACTCGAGATACAATCAGATTTTGATATATGCGTCGGACGAAGAACATACCTCCTTTGTTACAGATCGAGGGCTGTATTACTATAAGGTTATGCCCTTCGGTCTAAAAAACGTTAGGGCAACTTACCAGCGGTTAGTTAACCGAATGTTTTTTGAGCAGATCAGAAAATTAGTGGAAGTCTATGTTGATGACATGTTGGTCAAATCACATGTCCCTTC